CGTCTCGCTCCCCGCCCCGCCCTGCCATACGCGAGCACACCGGCATAAACACAGCGTATGTCCCTGTGTAGTGGGCGACTGGGTGACGGATCGCAGGTAACGGGCCATCATAACGCTTACACACACGCACACACTCACACACTCACACACTCACACACTCACTCTCACAGCCTCGCTGTCCTGCGTGTGTGGGTGCTTTGGCTGACTCAGGATTCTCCCTGGAGAAAAAGAGAGACAGAAAGGAGAGAATAAAAGCGAGACAACGAAAGGAGAGTGAAGCGGGCAGGGGGGAGGGGAGGGGAGGGGCGCGTGTGTGTCGCCGGGAGATGAAATACGAGGGACACCGGTGACTGAGATGTAGGTACATCGCGCACGCAGGCCGTCGTCGTACGCTGCTTTGGGACGGCGGGGCCTAAACGGGCGACCCCGCCACGCCACGCCCCGCCCCGCCCCAACGCGCCCCGCCACGCCCCGGCGCGCCCCACCACGCCCCGCCACGCCACACGCAGCGGGGCCCAGGAGACATTCTGATTGACGGGTGTCTAGGTTGGGAGGGGGCCACTGGCGGCCGGGGCGGCGGCGTGAGGTGAGGCGAGGACGGGGACGGGGACGGGCTGGACGGACGTGGCTAGGAAGAAGAGTCCCCAGCCCCCGCCAGCCCGGCCAGGCCCCTCGCCTCCGGCCCGGCGGGGATCCAGTACCTCCATTTCGATAAATCGTACGTCATTCATTCATTATTGATGACTGGAGGGGGGGATGTGGGGAGGCGAAGGACGCGCCGGTGTTTTGACGGTGCGACCGCGCGAGTGTACCCGACCACCACCTCGTCGTGCATTCGCTGCTTTCGTTGGTCCGCGGCGTCCGTTCCGTCCACAATCCATTGATAGTTGGTCGCACCGCGCTGCAGGTCCGCCGTCCCCGCCGCCGCCGCCTGGCCGCCGCCATGAGCGTCCCGTTTGTCATCGCCATCGACACGCTTCCATAACGGATGCTCGCACGCAACGTTACGATACTCTATGCAAAACGCCTTCCCCTTTCGCAATGAGGAGACGCGTCCCCCGCACGGCCGCCGCGCCGCCAACACTGTCGTGTACGCGGAGATGACGCTCTTCTTTACCTTTCGAATCGGCGTACGCAAGCGGCCTCTGAGGCTTATCGTGTCCTATTTGATTCGGCTCACCAGTAGTGGCGGTGCGGTGGACTTCGCGACTTCGCGCGGTAACACGGCACTATACTCTCCCGCCGCAACGAAAAACTACACACTTTTCCCCCGCGCCGCGTACCCTTTTGCCTCCGCGTTGACCATAATCATAAAATGAGATAACGAGCCAGGCTGATTGCATATGCAACGCCGCACTGCCAACCTACATCGCCATTTAAATAAATTTGCGCTAACAAGCGGCCTGGCCTCATATTCGCATCATTATCGATTTTCCAGCCCCGCCTGCCCCAGCCGTGCGCGCTGGGTGCCCGCGCCGCAGGGTCAGGGCCGGAGAGACACGCGACCGCTGTCTCTTTATATTCCTCTATCGTCATCTCATTTTTTGTTTTCAATTTTTATTAAGTATTGTTTTGACAACGCTGTCCTGATGAAGCAGTGTGTCCGCGAGTCGCGCCTCCGCGGCCCATGGCCCACTGGCGGCGAGCCCGCCCTGCTCTCCTCATGTCGACGATCTGACCCACTTGTCGGGTCGTGGCGTGGCGGGGCGAGGCGGGGCGGGGCGGGGCGGGGCTGGGCGGGGCGGGGCGGGGCGGG